ACAAAAGTCAAGGGCACTACTCCCTGTTTTTTGAGATTCGTCTCGTGGATACGCGCAAAGCTCTTTGCTAGAATGACCTGGCCTCCGAGATACCGTGGTTGCAAAGCTGCATGTTCTCTGGCAGATCCCTCGCCGTAGTTGTCCTCGGCTACTACTAGCCAGTTCTGTCCATTTGCTTTCCACTTCTTCGCAAGTTCTGGGATAGACGACGTGGAGCCGTCAGTGTCATACGCAACATTTGTCTCGCCGGTCGCTGCGTTCACAGCACCAATGAGAGTGTTTTCGGCAATGTTAGGAAGGTGTCCTTTGTACTTGAGCCAAGGTCCAGCCGCTGAAATCGTATCTGTCGTGCACTGACCCTTGACCTTGTACAGGACTTTCAGCCCTTTCAGCTCGCCTTCTGGGAAAGGCTCGAATGGCTCCAAGATAGCTAGTCGATCAGACTCAGGGTCCACCACAACTTCCACACTTTGGTCTGGTTCCGCAGCGGAAGGATAGAAAGCAGGATTGCCAATAGCAAAGCCTGAACCTGGAAGCTGTGCCCCCTTGGGAGGCTCGAATTTGAACTTCTCGCCAGAAGGCAAGGGGATCTCGTCGACGATGGGGTTGAAAGAAGTCGACCCAGAGTAGGAAATCGCGGTGACGATTTCCGGTGAAGCAAGGAAGCTCATCGTGCGGGGATTGCCATCATTCCGGCCCGGAAAATTGCGATTGTAGGAGCAAATGATGGCGTTGTCTTGCCCCTTCTTGACGCCATCAGTTCGCTTCCATTGTCCTATGCACGGCCCGCAGGCGTTGGCCAAGACGGTGCCACCGGCGTTGGTGAATGTTTCGAGTGTCTTGCTTTCCTCCAAGGTAGCCCGTACCTGTTCACTTCCGGGCGTGATGAAGAAATCAGCCTTGGGCTTCAAGCCAGCAGCCTGTGCCTGTTTGACCAAGTCCTGTGCGCGGGTCATGTCCTCGTAAGAGCTGTTGGTGCAACTGCCAATCAAGCCGGCCGAGAAGCTATCAGGCCAGTTGTTGGTCTTCACTGCGTCTTTAAATTTGGAAAGGGGGGTAGACAAATCGGGTGTGAAAGGGCCATTGATGTGCGGCTCCAGCGAGGCCAGATTGATTGTGATCTCTTGGTCGTACTCGGCCCCCTGATCGGCCCGCAAGAAGTTGTGTTTTTCCGAGCCATATGCGATGCCCTTGACCGCATCGACAATAGCATCTCGGCCCGTGGCTTGCAAGTAAGGAATATGGTTCTCGGTAAAAGGGAAAATCGACGTTGTAGCCCCAACTTCCGCCCCCATGTTACAAATCGTGGCCATGCCTGTGCAACTCAGAGAGTCAACTCCTGGCCCGAAATACTCGATGATAGATCCAGTTCCACCACGAACGGTCAGTCTGCCTGCCAGATGAAGAATAACATCTTTTGGTGAGGTCCACCCGCTGAGCTTGCCTTCTAGACGGACTCCCAGAATCTTTGGAGCCTTAAGCTCCCAAGGGGCATCAACCAGAGCATCAACTGCGTCAGCTCCGCCCACACCTATTGCGATAGCACCTAGGCCTCCGGCATTTGGTGTGTGACTGTCCGTTCCCAACATCATCAAGCCAGGAGCAGCGTAGTTTTCCAGCACCGACTGATGTATAATACCTGCCCCGGGTGGCCAGAACTCGATCCCGTATCTCTTTGCAGCAGATTCCAAAAAGTCAAACACCTCCTTGTTGCCCGCGATGGAGTTGGGTAGATCCAAGTCTGCGCCTTTCTCTCCCACAATCATATGGTCGCAATGGATGCTGGCAGGTACGGCGGTACTGGGCAGATTGCATGTCATGAATTGGAGGATGGCCATCTGTGCAGAGGCATCCTGCATTGCGACACGGTCGGGCTTGAGCTTGAGGTTGGCTCTGCCCCGAATGTTCTTGCCATTGTCGGTACCGGTCAACAGAGACTCGGAGGGGTTGGCGAGGTGGGAATAGAGGATTTTCTCAGCGAGTGTGAGCTTCTGGCGGGGTAGAATATCTCTGACATCTTCAAAGGTCTTCAGAATTTTCTGGTAAGGGGGCACGGCAGCTCGCCGCCGTAATGGTGACTGCGAGTGCTGCAGGGTTGCATAGCCGCGGTGATATGACTGCCGTGCTCTAGAGCAAGAGCCCAAGTCCAGGGGACATCTGACCCGTGCAGATGGCACTCGTTGTAACAGGGCAGGCATCGTGAGTGAGTGCTGTCTGGGGAATATAGACAGCAAAAAGGCGTGTCCCCGAGCTCGGAGGGGGAAATAGAGAGAGCAAAAAATCCCATTGCCGGTCCGAAGTTGTGCCGAGGGCTTGGCATCCGGTAACCACAAACAGCTCTGGCTCTATTGGTCGCCTTTGAACTCCTCCTTCCCAATCTGGACTCAGGAGCAATGAGACCTATTACCGTAGTACAAGTTTCGAGTACAAATATTACGTTCGCTCTCGGAATGTTAGAAAGTCAGCGGTACTATCGGTGAAGACTTTGTGGAGCACAGCGCGCGTCTGTCTGAAGCGGACAAAATACACGTCTACTCGTAGTCCCTGAAGGATCAACGGGAGCCTCTCAATATCCCGAACTATTAAGCAGGGATACGTTCACCGGACGAGTGCCACATTCTAACGGCCGACCAGGGAACGAGCAAATTTAGATGACGACAAGGTCAGGGTTACCACCTGATAGCCCTTGTTCTGCACCTGACGATACATTTATGCATCATTGGCGTCTGCATTATAGAGCATGGATGTACAAGTATGGATAAATCAAAGGCTATGCTCGACATGGCCAAGTTAAAGTGGGTAGAGAATGGTAGGACAGTAGCGGCGAGATAAAGCTGTAAAGGTGACGAGGCTGCGTGAAAGGGAGGGTGGGTTATCTGGAAACTACAGGTAGCAGAAACAGCCGCGGCACTCGAGTGTACTGGTAAACGAGTCTCTATAGTGACGGAAGAGTGGTTGGAAAGAAAATTTGTAGGATTGCTTAGCGATACGAGCGAGGATATTGCACCTGTTCTCGTATAGGTACACAGCAGGTACAAGGAAATTGCTAATGGACCTCCTTGAACCCCAAGTGTCTATGGCTTTACGATGTGTCGAGGTCTCGGCGCATGGATGACGAGTTTGCATCAAGTTTTGTTCGAGTTTACTATGGGTTGTATTTTGTAAAAGTCGTCCCTAGCTCATCTTCAATTTTACGATACTGTAGAATGGTAAAGCAAGGGAAATGCTGCCTTTAGTTGGCAAGTTGTCTGGAGAGGTCGGAAGTTCTGAGCGGCAACAGTCTCTAGTCCCTCTTCGTACTGGGTGGAAATTGGATGCCCATTTGAAGAGCAACCGAAGTCGAGTTGGCGCAGAAATATTTGGAAAAGCTACCTGGAATAAAGGGATGACTTCGTCACATCTGAGGGCAAGAGAGAATGAAAGGTGGCATAGAAAAGATAATCAAAGACCATTCCAGAGACAGTCATACATAAATAAGCCGTGCGTGGAATGCTTGAACCCCATTTTCTTTCAGGTAATTTGGAGAAATGATAGTAGGCATGGCCAGGGGTTGTGTGGACATGTAGCCAATTCTCTCTTCCTCGGCACACACGAGAGTAGACTTGTAGAGAGGATGTTGAAAGTGTAATTTCTTTTCTCCGAAAGTGGTCAAAGAAGATGCAACGCTGTGGGCACCACTCGGCCTGTTTCTTTGCGGCTATAGCATTTCTTGAAGAGCTTGGAAATCGAAACGTGGATGGTAAAGTAGTGTAGTTGATTACAGGAATCGTATTCTTCGAGACCAGAAGTCCAAGGTCATTTCCAGCATAATAGATGTCGAGTCTAGGTGCTTCAGGCTGACAGTGCCCAAAACAAGGAGAGCTGGGTTTGTCAGGTGTGGCTTTTGTCTTTGTTGGACCGGCCTGGGAAGCGCGGTTCGCGGGTTAAAGAACCCACTCGCTCCCGGTATTGGAAAACATTTGTGGTTGACCAGTCCAGATTGCGTTGGAGCAATTCTTTGGCCTTTACGTTTACTGTTGCTAAAGGAGTGATAAGGGAAGACAAGGTATCGTAGCGGTATACACAAATACTTCACAGATACCAAAGTTCAACATGATGTTCCTTTGATTAGACCCTGGATGCCGATCTTACCTTTCCTATCCAGCTATAAACAGAATAATTCGTTGAATTTCGTTGTTAGGTAAGGTACTTTGCATACATAAGGTGGAAAGGATTGTATCATGTATGCTTCGTAGACTGACTGATCCAAAGTGCTGTGTTGAAGGCAACGTCGTTCTGGGTTGGATCTGTCAAGCTTCGTGCCGTATCGGAAGGAAAACCTTGACAGATTGACAGAAAGCACCTCCAGGGGTGGCGTAGGTGCGTGTGTAGGTGCCAAGGGGGCTTAAGGTCTTTGGTTCAACATCGTATGTTGGCGGTAGAGGAACCCCTGTAGCGCCTGGGATAGGGGGACCTGCGTTTTGTACCGGAGCCCACCAACAAAGCAGCTCCTCTCATGCCCAAGCCTGAGCTTCCAGGCACTGGTAGGTACTTGCCCACCCTTGTCTCGGTGCTGATTCCATTCGTTACTATCCGTATGTAGTCCAGTCACGTGCTCCACTTGAGGATCTGATGACTGCCGCGCATTAGCCACACCGCCGGATTCTTTTTCCGTTGCTCCATCCATTTGTTGCTCCTAGTTGGACGCTGGTCAGCAGACGCTTTCTCCCTCGAAAGGTTGCCCTGTTGCCGTAGACTCGAGTCTTCATCAAATCTGACCACATCCTTCATCGACACGAGGCCAGTTCCAGGCAGTGGCTGCTTTGGATCGAAAGCCTCAAATCTGGGATGTGGGCCTTAGCGCTGCGAATCGGCCACTTCTGGAAGCCTTTTCCGCTCAGCATTTCGCTGTGAGGGCACAGTTCATTCGTATTCTCTCCCCCACCCCTGGTTCTGGTTGGTATATCTACCGCTCGAGACCCTCCAGCGTCGCGGACTCGCGGCCGGGAGTTTGGGCCCGCTTAGTTATCTTCAAGATTTTCCGGCTGATCATCAGTCAACACTACCTCCCACCTTGCCAGCAACTCTCCCATCGTATAGTCTTCGCTATCTCCCGCGTCTCTTTTGACAAGGGCCAGGTTCGGGTAGACGCTTCGAATTCGTTTGTGTGCCCCCGTGGTCCACACAGTCTTGTCGAAATCATCCAGGATCTCAACCAGCCTTGGAGGAAGCTGGACACCCATCGACTGCGCTGTCGGTCGCAACATCCGGAGCATACCGGCAAACACCAGCCAGCGTCGTGCACCTACCATCAAGTACATCGTCAGATCAACAAGTGCTTCTTCGTTCTCCCCTGATTGTAACGACGGATCGCGCAGCGCTTTCAGCAGAATAAAATACGCGATCGCAGCCGCCTGGCAACTGCCTGCCATCACACGAACGAGGCCATATGTGGAGCGAAACTGTCGATAAAGTGGAAGCATGCGACCGATTAAGAGAAGGGAGGTGCTGCGAGCTGTTATAGCCGCAGTCGACTTCGACTGTGCGGTGAAAGATGCTGGAACAGGGGTTCGCCCTGGTGAACCGTCGCGTGCAGAAACCTCACTCAGGGTAAGAGAACACGCATAGTAAATGGCGCTGCAATAGTTAGCCGATAAATTGTGCACACTCACGCTCCCCATCGCTGGGTAAGATCTCGCTCACTGTAGCTCAAACAATGGCCCAGGTGTGGCCGTGTCGGTTTGCAACGTCGCAGAGAGGGTATCGTACCAGCTTCGCAACCTCTCCATCAGCAGCAAGGGTGTATTCCTGTCTCGCTGTTCAGTGAAGGGCACACTTAATGCTACTTCATATGCTATCTCAGCCAAGTCACAATATGCGTCCACGACTGCCTCTCCATACAACAGTTCTGTTCTATCTGCACGGGGATATGGTTTCCACTCCACTGAATTGTGAAGGTCTTCGTCGTTGAAGGGGCGCGGCACTGTCGGCGGCAGGAGCGCAGGGCTTTTGAGAAGGAAAATGGCAAAAATCCTGTCGAGTGAGCGGAACACGGTCAACAAATGGACCCGACAAGCGACTCACGCGTTGCAGGCAAACACCGACCACGAGACATTCAACATGGCTGTTCTCATCCTACCCACGGACTCGGCAGGGCAATCACGTGGTATCTTGACTTGGTTACCAAGATCCATGTCTCGGTACATGTGGACTACCTGCGACATGGTCGACCAGCCAAGTTGATCTTTTCCGCGCATGTTCTGGTACAGCATGAGAAGATACAGGCCTTGCAAGTTGGTCATGGAAGATCGCCCTTCCTCGCGGTCCCATAAGCGCCTCGCTTCGTCATAGAAATGCTCCCCCCACGTGTCCAGATCGTCAGGGTCGGAGAAGGCCCCTGGTAAGTCAGAGTAGCTGCAAGAAAGGGCTAGCAGCGCATTCACGAGAAAAGGGGAGCAGAGAGGACTCATGGCGTCACCGGCTACCATGGCTTCAATCAAGGCCGGTTCATGAAGAGGGTGCATGAAGGTGTTCCACCAGGTGAAGTAGAGCGAGACTAGATGGGAGACGAGATAGTCATCGTTCGTGACTGTCGTCCAGGGCCTTGCCCTGAGCTGAAACAGGGGTTCGTCCGTCATCTGCTCGACGCTCATGGTCTTCCTTCGTGCTCTACTCGTGGGGACCTGCTCTGCAAGGCTGGCAGCTTCAGCTCTCAGTTTGAGGAGACCGTCGATGGTGGCATCTGTCTTCGGGCTGCTGTCGCGAAGCTTCCTGACACTTTCATCGATAAAAGCATTGATCTAAGGCCGCAAGTACGGTTAGTGTTATCCTTTCGGAAGTGGGAGCTCACCGAATCATGGTTCTAGTAGGGGTCGTGTTTCTCGTCCTCTAGATCTACAACCGAATGCGCAAAAGACCGCAGGTCGACTCACGGTCGCCACGGGCGCATCATCTCGAATCAGTCTGAAGAGGCGCTGGGCATCGTTTTCGTCACTCGATCGAATCGAACGCAGCAGTCCGGTCAAGAGATCACGGTGATGCTCTGTGCCCTCCTCCATCTTCCGCTTGATCGCCTCCTTTCGCCTCCCATCGAGATCTTCTCTGAAAATACACTCGGTTTCGAAGGTGATACAAGCATTGCAAGGCCCTGGCGGGCCGCTGCACTATTGAATCGTCAGCCCATGGTAGGTTGTGTGAAGACGGAAGAATGCCGACTGAATTCCCCCTACCTTTCTTCGTTTGGCCTTACATGAGAGGCACGCTGCGGTGGCGTTGCTCCTGGAATTGCGGGTGATGCTCCGCCCACGTGTCGGGATGGACGACCCGCCGGGTTCATCGGGTGGGGGATTTGCTGGTGTAATGGGTCTCAGGCGCTGGGACATGGCTTTTTTGGTGTTGCCGGATCCAACATCCAGGGCGTGACTGATGGGCTGGGGGGGGGTTGGTCGTCCAAGCAAAGCCCTCACGGAAGTTGTTTCCAGGGAGGAGATTGAATCAGCAAGTCCTCGCTCGCTAGGTCGAAAGTGGCTGGGCACTCGATAAGCGCAGACGCCCGCGGGCGGTCACGCGGCGTGGGACCTGGGCTGCATCGACTGGCTGGCTGGCTTGGGCGAAGGAAGGGGAATGAGCGATGTAGGTAGGTGTAGCTCGCTCGTTTGCTCGCTCGCTGGCCAGCCCGTGGATCTGCTCTGCAAGTGCCACCACCAGTCAACGAGTTCTAGCGCCAAGGGGAACATTTTTTGCCGCTGAAATTGTGGATACATCGACCCTAGCGATATACCCTTCCACTAAATCTGCTACGGCTAGACTTGCTGAACCGGCGCCGAGTTAGTCTATGCTTTGCAGGTGTTCATTGGCTGGATATCTTTTAGCATTTAATCCGCCACAACTCAGTTACTGTATAGTACTGCGCCAAGCCCCAAAAGTCCAGACCGTCGCCTTGTTTTTCGTCTGGCAAGGTCATTTTGGTCTTTTGAACTGTCTCGATTGCCAAGACTGTCAAAGGAGCACGCGCATGCACATTCACAACGTCTCTTGGTACCTAGTAGTGGAAGTAGAGGCAGCCTGCCTTTTTCCCTTAGCTGGTTAATACGAAACTACCATATAAAGGTGTTAGTGTAGCAGCCTGAAAAGCAAATAATCGTGCTCCGGTCCCCGACTCCGCGCGCAACAAACTCGCAGAGCTTCAAGCAGAGCTTTAGCTGTACTGGACCCTGGCCTTCAGGGCAACGGGTCCCTGAAAAAAAGAAATTGGGTCATCAGCGCACAACACACCCCAGCTCTGAAAAGAACAGTCTGAGAAGCGTAGGAAAAATCAACTCCCCATATCGTAACGGTGTGGACGTTAATGCCGTCACCGAGCCTCCACATCCGCTACTCGCCCTCTGCTTCCTCCTCAGCTGCAGTCCTCAACTCATACGCAAGATCATAACATTCCGCGAGAAGATCGTTCACACTGCCTTGTCCCTCTGGGATATCATTGCCAATTTGGAACTTCCCATCAACCCGCATGTTGTCAATAGAGTTGAGCTTCATGCTGTAAGGATACAATTCTCGGGGATTGGAAACGCCCCCCGCCTTCTTGACCTCGACCAGACATTTCCGCAAAGTGAGAAGCTGGTTGTATATAGGAAGTAGCGCTTCCGAAACCGGCTCGGATGCGATCAGCAACTGATAAATGTACGCATATCCTCGCCGGATCAGGTAGAGCAGCGTCTGTCAATGCGGGTCAGTAACTGTGGCCGATTCACATGTGGAAATCTTACTCTTTGTGCGTGTAGGTCCGCAGGGTGGCCTTCGGCGTCGAAGAAATTCCCATCTCGTCTCGAATCGTCAATGCGATCCAACTTCCTCTGCCACATAAACAAGTCGGTTTCGCGGAGGGACCAAGCTTGGGTCATGGTCAGTCGATCGAGCTGATTGCGGATTTCCAGGAGTTGATCATAAATATCTTGGAATCTCTCGTCTATCTTGCCTTGCCTGGTCCGAAGAGGTTAGCCGACAAAGTCCAAAAGGGAAATGGGCACAAGCAACTTACTTTTGTTCGACTATATCGGTGAATTTGAGGCACCTTTCAAGCAGAGGTACCACCAAGTCTTGCCCGCCCTTGACTTCCCCTTGTTCACTCGGGAGTTTTCCATCCTTCATGGTTGCTTGGATCTGCAGAAGCTGCTCCCGCAGTTCATTCAAATCTTTCTGGCTGAACTACACAAGAATTAGTATAGAAATGTGACAGAGTTCGATTTCAGGAAGTACCTTGCTCCTGGTGTTCAAGGCCGCAATAGCTCGGAGAATAGAGACCAGTTTCTCCCAAATTGGGGTCATTTCCGGAGAGAGTGTAGAAAGGAAGTTGCGCAGTTCCTGCAGCATTTCCCGGCAAACCTCCAGGCGATATTGGATGCGGGTCAATAAGTGATTGGAGTACTTCTCCTTGCCGTGGTCGAGAGTGATCTGCATCTTCTCAAGTGTGTGTTCCAAACTGGTCAAGTCTCTCTTGCTATAAAACGCAGCTTCTTTGAGGTGTTGACACAGGCGCGTGATGTTTCCGGTCATGGCGTATAGCGCAGGCGCTTCGTTGTTCCGTCCCACCGCCATAAAGAAGAGGGAGACAAGTTGAAGACAGTCATCCAGGACTGTGTCGACTCGGTTTTGCAGTAAAATTTCCGGACCTCGGACAGAGTTGAGGATCGAGACTTGCTCAATGACCTGCTCATACAAGGGAAGGACATCGGAGGATTTGACATAGGTGCTTTTGTCTTGCTTGAGGAGCAGCAACTTGTCTCTGATCAGGAGCAGCTTGTCCAGGATCGGTTTCTCTTGAGGCCCGACGGGCGCAGTTGTAATGGGTGAATCAGACATGGTCGGTGGTGTTCATCAGAGGCAAATTTTGGTAATCTGGGGGAGGGGCAGCAGTACAACCGGCGCAGCGGGCACGCACGAGAGGTGTCTGTGGGCAAGAGTCGTCGTGAAGGTCAGGCGTCGCGGACAAAGTGTGTCGTGAAACAAGAAGTGAGTCGGCTTCAAATTTGCCGTCGACAGCAGTTCAGTTTGACGGTGGGCAGTGATTGAGTTGTGCCTGCGCATACAGGTACGTGCAGTGGATTTGGTGGGATGCACAGGCACTGGCACAGCATGATATTGGAAACGGTGGGCATGCGGTCATTCAGCTGCTTAGAGAGAAACTTGCCCCTCGCGGCTCGCACTGGCAGCAAAATGCTGGCTAATCAGAGGGCCCAGCGAAAGCCCCGGAGAACTCACGACCCCCGGCCGTCCCGGGCTAGCCTAAGGCTCTGGAGGACGCCTGGACGCCCATGTGAAGCACCTACAAGTAGAAACCTAGAGAACTAGCTGGGGGAGCCACCAGGGGTTCCCCTCGCCTTGGCATTTGGCCTTTCCAGCCCGATCCGCGCCCCACCTTGTTACGATCCAAAGTCGCAGCCCCGAATCCCACCGATGAAGAAAGTCCGTGATCCTCTGGTGCGCCAGCCTTGTCTACAATACATGTCTTTGCTACTTGAATTGAAGGTCTGAAGCTTTGATCCCTCCTTGTTCTCACCACTATACACTCTGTCTCCACGGTATCGTATCCCAGAAGCGCACCTTTCGGCCGCATACTCCGGCAGCCATACAATCCCGCCACGCACTGTACATCAGGATCGCCATACTCTGACCTTCACTAGTCTGATTGACGGGGTTTGTACTTGGGACGTGGTCGACATCTGCCACGGGATCAACACTGCCGTCTTGGTTGATATGCTTGGCTACGGCATGACGGTTCACTTCAGCCCAGTCAAGAAAGCGCGGTCTTCCATAGACCTCTGGTAAGAGCACTGCCAGTCTATAGACTGCGGAGGCCATCAGCGCAGTGCCCGCAGCATCTCCATAAGCCCAGAGAGAAGACCGATGGGATGGCCCGTCCAGATAGTTCTTCAGAAGACCAGACTTCTCATCTCGACTCTGGGCCATGGTACACTTCAGCATATCGTCAATGATACCTGTCAGTGCCTTTGTGCTCCGGACCCTGAACTCAAGGTATTGGAGCCTCTCGATTGCACTGTTTGAAGGAGGCTGCCACCTCAACATCGTGGCCAAGACCCGAGCCATTCCTGCTACAGCCCATGCATTGCTAGTAAGCCATACATCTGGGTCTGTACAGCAGATTCCGTGCTCCAGCTGTGAGGGCTCTGAGACAATATGCCTCCATAGGCCACGACAAGTTTGTCCATCTTGCAGCGAGATACTCGTCCTCAGAACGACGTTGTAAAGCTGACATTGCTGCACAGACGTTTTTAAGCTCTCCATGTCCTGGAAAGCCACACCATAGTATGCAAGGAATGGAGGCACCATATAGACGAAATCACCCCAGAGCTCAGGGGGCTCCTCGCGGTGTGAGATGGGTGACGACATGAGATGACCGTTGAACCGTGTGGCTTTTGTCATGAGGTAGTTTGCCTGCCGCTTTGCAGCGTCGAGGTAGGTCTTATTGTGGTGGGATAAAAGTAAGGCGGCTGTTCCAAGAGACGCAGGATCCGCTGCTGAGCCTGTCCCCTTGTGAGTCTGAGGGATCCAGGCCGTAGTCAGAGCCAAATCCGTCGCCCATACTGACCAACAGGAACCGATTACAACTTACCTTCGCCGTCGACCAGTAGATCTGAGCCATTATTCCATATCACGCCTCTGGCAAAGGCAAGACCTTCGACTTTGGAGGGATCAGGGATCCTGGGTATCTGTCCTTGCGGAAATGGATGGGACCCAAAGACAGTCAAGTCACCGTCATAGAACTCAAGAAGAGCTTCAGTCAGCGTTCCAAACTCCCAGGACCGTGAAGTGAGGGCGTAGGCCTTCGCAAGAACCGGTTGCGGCTCAAAGCCTGCGTCTGGTGGGGAAAGAGGAGTCCAGTTGATAACCGCCATGACAGCCACAGCCAGACTTGCTACATAGTACTTCATGTTGTCGTTCTTATCCAAAGATTCAGGACATCACTTCCGAGGGATATGGCGAAATGAAAGAAATCCGAGTTTCGAGCGCGACAATATCAGGCTAAATGTGCGTTGACGTGATGACGCAGCTTTACGCTTGTTACAATGGTATAGGCACTTACAACAGGTACTACGGCCGGGCTCCAATTCTACCTCGGATTTCTAGCACGGATGAGAGAGGAAAAGGAGACAAGTTGAAACACCATGGCAAAATGAGGTTCGTCTCACGCGGTAGGGATGCCTATATGAACCGAGACGCTTGTCAAGGGCGCTCATAAACTCTCTCGCCTTCAAACCAAGTGCCCAGGACCTGAGCTTCATCGAATTCACCTTTGCTCAGGTCATGGTCGATCATTATGAAGTTGGCTTTCTTTCCAACCTCAATGGTTCCAGTCTTGTCCTCTCGGCCCGTTGCTATCGCACCTGCGACGGTTAGCATCTTACAGATTGCTTCGGCAGCTGTAATTTTCACGGCCTCCGTTGCTGGCAGCGCAGCTGCGACGCTGTCCGCAATCAGAGCGCAAGCAGGTAGGAGGGACGGGTCTTGGAAGGCCCAGTCACTTCCAATCGTCAGATGGGCCCCGTTTTTGATCATCTTCCCCCAACTCCAGTCCATCAGGCCATTGGACATGGTGGTGAGCGGATGAACAAAGAACATTGAGGGAGACATCTCGGCGGTGACATTGAGCTGCCGGAAGCGTGGATAATCATCTGCCTGCATTAGCAGTCTTCTCACCAAGCCCAGACATGGGACATACCATCATGCACACCGCTGCAATGCGCAATTTCATGCCTTGGCCCTTGACTATTGGTCTTCCTTACAGCCTCGTACACATCCAAGGCTCGACGTGTACTGCCAAAGCCTGTGCAGTGAATCTTACATGTCATGCCCCTCGCATCCATCTTCGAGACGGCTTCGGCCAGGTCGTCGATCTGTATCTTGCTCTCGTCAATCGCTCCAGACTCAGTGAGACCGGCGTGCGTGTAGTACGGATGCAGTGGGACACCATCCAGCATGAATTTGACGAAATTGGTCTGGACATGTTGAGACCGTAAACTGTCCGCCTGATCAAGCGTCTTGTGCAGGGTTTCGAGACATTCTTCCGCAAGCTGCTCTGGCTTGTATACGATGTGCGTTTGCACGTCCACTTTCAACTCCCCGGTAACATCGAGCTCCCCTAGTGCTTTGAGAATGAGCGTATTCGACGCCGCTTCTTGGAAACTGGTCACTCCTACCGAGTGAAGCAGCTTCACTGCGTGCAGAATACTGCGTTTGATGTGTGCCATTTCTGGTTTCGGCATCGCGAGTGCTGCTTTGGTCATGGCTAGCTCGGTCATTTCACCGGTCAAGGTGCCATCTGCGCGGCGGAAGAAATGGCTGTGTGGCCCGTCAGGTTCTGTGAGGCTGTATCCCGATCTTTCCAGAGCAGCGGTATTGAGGAACATTGCATGACCCGCTCCTCCCCGCAAAAGGACTGGAGTATCGGGGAATTCACGGTCGAGGGCTTCTCGATCGAAGTCCTCAATGCGGTAGAGATCCCCGACGATCCAGTCTCCATATGCATGGGCGTGTTCACAGGCGCACGACGGCGACTTGAGCCTCTCGGCGATGTTGGACGTGGTGACGTCGAACCCAGGCTTCAGATTGGAGAGACGAGAGAGCCCTGCGACAAGAATATGGACATGGGCATCGTGAATACCCGGCATCACAAAGCGCGACTGTAGATCAAATGTGGGAAGACTTTCGCGGCGTGCGATGTCTAGAATGTCGCTGTTGGTTCCGACGGCCGTAAACTCGCCGCTTGCTGAGACTATGAATGCCTCGACGCGGTCTCCATGATTGCTTGCCGTGAAGATATTGCCAGTGTGGTATGCCACAGCTCCTTTATCTTTTGCTGCCATGGTCTGTACCCAGATGCTGGCTACTGCTGCCACAAGATCAAGGAGTGGGAGGACCGGTATCGCAACGGACCCCTTTTATGGGTGTGAATAGGCTTGACGTCCTCGAGGTGCGATAGATTGATAGATTTCTACTCAGTAGAGATATGAAGTTTGGACTTGGGCCATAGCGACAGGTACAGAAGCCAATGGGCACTTTATCTGGACTTTGAGGGGAGATGTCAGCATTTATTGTTTAGGCGTTCCGCAGGCCAGTGAGATATATCTACCTATCTGCTCCTCCTCGGTACATGTTCCGAGTTACAACGGTCTCTTTGTCTCGAAGAAGCGAGCCCCGAAGTCGTCAAAGTCGTCAGCTTGTTCTTGGCCTCGACCATTTAATATGCGGTGAAGGAGGTAGATGGTCAGCAGAAAGTGAGTGATGGCACAAATCTCCCGATCTGGTTGTAGGTGTCGAATGTTACGTTGTACTGGTAGAGTCCTGGAAAATCTCTCGCAGCCGAGAAGAGGTGAGGGGTTTGGGTACTGGTACTCAGGTAGTCGCTTCAAGGTACTTGAACCCTCGTACTTGTACCTGTTGTACCTGTTGTACTTGTACATGTACCTCGCAAAGGGACGGAGCGTTTCCTTTTCGGGGTGTAACACAAGGCTGCAGCTTCGCAATGTTGCATCACGACTTTCACTTGATAATTCCTTCTGCATATGTCTCAAGTCTCTGCTGTTCTTCCTCAAACTGATTCGCCCATCTTCACCGGAATGCCTCGTGGAGATATCCCTTGATGAATACCTGACGAGATTGTCCTATAAGCCTCCCCAAAGCTGTTCGAACAGACACGAGATCCATTCTTATCCGGCTCATCACAAAATCCTTGAAATGCTCACCTCCAAGGCATCTAAATGCCTGTAGCACTACAGCCTCATCAACATGATACGCGAGGCAACGACACTTGAGGTCCGCTGGTATCTATCGCCACCGCAAGGTTTTCTACGAGTAACTAAGGATGATAAATAGATGGATGTTGCCATACTGCCAAGTGAGAAAAGAAAAATCGAGATATATGCCATGCAACTAGGCAGGGAGCGCTAAGCGACTGGCCCGCGGGCTCAGATCATCCCAGGGCGTCCATATGGGCGGGAACACGGGCATCTGAGTAAAGTGTGGCGCAGGCTATCTCAAGGTTCCCCGGTAGTTCAGGCATGCCAGGCTCAAACTCGAAGCTAAGCACCTCAACCTACTCCCTCCTCCGTATCATAAGCGACGATCATGGCTTAGGTCTCCAAAGGTCTCACCTCCTCGAGCAATCATGGCGGCTCCAGTTCGATGCCAATCCCCCATCATGAAACGGGATGAGCTTTTTGCACCGACTGCCTAATTGGCCTATGGGCCGTGCCCACTGTGGCAGATGGCGACTACAACTGCCTCTTCTTCACTCTACCGTTGCAGGAAACGAGACTTCCCGAAAGGAAAAATACCCCAAACTCGATGCCATCATGGACCACACTTTCCTTGTTTCTCAGCAAAGCCTGAAAGATGGGAGTCTCTTACTCTCTCGCCTTTTCGCTTTTGCCAATCATCGCTGCGGTGCTGTTTTTTCCATCCTTGGAAAGCAATTCCATTTGTTTCCTTTCGGATTTTTAAGGTGCACTGCTTTTACCCGCAATTGGACAATCGTGTTGAGCATTTGGGGAATGGCCAGTGCGCCTCCGGCTTCCGACTCAGGCCATGATTATTGAAAATGTCGAGGCTTGGTGAAAGTGTTTCCCGAAAATGGATTCGGGAGAATCGTTAATTCACCCTAACCCGCAGTCTCGTTGTTGGACACTGGAACAGCTGGGTATATCGTCTATTGTCGACCAAGACGGTAAAGAGCAGTTGTTGATCCAACTTGACTCGAATGCATCAGACAAACACCTGCAGTCTTCTGAAGCGATTTTGGACAGGTCAACGGGTCGTTGGACACCGTGTACACCTCGAATTGCGCGTTCAAAGCCCGAGCTACCACAACGCCCGTCACGCTGTTCATTGAATGAAGAACCAGACACTAAGAGTTGGACAAGCCATCTCCCCCGCAATGAAAATGTACACTGGTTCTTGACCAGCGTGGACTGGAATTCGACCGATTTTGGGCCTTTGGACACCTGGCCAATTTCTCTGAGGACGGTCGTCAGTCTTGTACTGGCCGATAACTCGCCCGCCGTCGTCTACTGGGGGCCTTCTTTTTCTGCTTGCTTCAATTTAACGGCATACAACGACGTGTGCCAGAGGCTCAACACTCAGTCCGAAATACAAGGAAAACCTTTCAAGGACATATGGGAACAGTCATGGTCGACCTTGGAAAGCTTTTATAGGGTGATGCAAGACAACAGTCGCACCATGAAGAGCATGGAGCTGACCTTGTTTCCCCAACAGCCTAATGGGCGTCTTGAAGAGAGTTTTTGGAACGGAACCCTACTGCCTATCCTCGATGAGCAGGGCAAAGTAAACGGCTTTTACAACCGGGCAACCGAGATTACCAATGAAAAGGTAAGGGAAAGGAGGTCGAAGATGCTTTACTCAATCAGCGCACCGCCAACAGATCCGAATGGGTCGGTTTGGGAGCATCTTTTCCAAGCCTTGAAAGAGAACCCACATGACTTCCCCATGGCTTTCGCGTACTCGGCTGAGGATGATACCTCATCTTGCAAGCTGACTTTACAACAATCGTTGGGATTACCGCCTGGTGGACATCCTCTGGTTCCCAAGTACGTGGATATTTACGAAGGGTCCGCAGGATTTCTATTCTATTACCGCCGATTGAAAGCCACAAATAAACCGATTATACTCCACCATATGGACAACACACTCCCTAGAAAATTCCTGGAAGGGTTCGATTGGCGTGGCTATGGTGATACCCCAATTTCCATGGCACTGCTACCTGTTTCTGTCAGCAGCAGACTGCTGGGTGTGGTCGTATTTGGCCTCAATCCGAGGAGAAACTATCAGAAAGAAGATGAAGCTTTCATACAATCCTTGTGCCGACAAGCATCTGCCACCATTGCCTTTGCTGTCGACCGTGAAGAAGCATATGAGCGCGCTGAAAGACTCACTCTACAGCTTCAAGAAAGGGAACGGCAAATCAGAGAGATTGCTGAACATGGCCCGGTGGGTATGATTCGTCTTACTCCTGCCGGAAATATCATATGGGCTAATCGACGTGAGTATTCTGCTTTTCAAATGATCATCGTGAATGCCACCTCGTATCCAAGTCGTCGTTTTGTTCGCTCCGTCAACTTGCAATATACGCTTACAGATATTCACAGAGTACTACGAGATGACTGGTCACTCCCTTGAAGACAGATACGAGTTTTCTTTCCTTGAGCCTCTCCATCCCAGTGAAAAAGACCGTATGATGAGAATGTGGCACGAACTGCTCAAGAACCTTCAGCCCGTCAGCCAGGAACTGCGACTGCGAAAAACGTGGCAGCCTCCAGCTACTGCTGGAAATCCATGTCCGAGTGAAGAATCTTGTTGGTTGATGCTACATGCTTTCCCAGCTCTCGACGATGGAAAGATCAAAAGTATTGTCTGCTGTGTCACAGACATTAGCAAAACCAAGTGGACAGAAGAAGTTCAGAGTCGCCTGGCTCTCGAGGCAACCGAGGCACGAAAATTACAAGAGGCATTCATTGATTTCGTGTCTCACGAGATGAGGAATCCTCTCGGGGCAATTACCCAGCTTGCAGATGGGATTGTTGCGTCTCTAGACGACTGGGCTTCGTCAGATCGGTCACCAGAAGCTACACACCAGCTGCTCAAGGACAATGTCGATTATGCAAAGACAATCTTGCTGTGTGCTTCACACCAGAAACGGATTGTCGATGATGTCCTAACACTGTCAAAATTGGACTCTCAGCTTCTCTCCATCACCCCAGTTGTGACCAAACCACATGTTGTGGTCGAGTCGGTGTTGACCATGTTTCGAGCAGAGTTTAATACACACTCGATCACTGTCGAAAGCGCTGCAGACGACACATTGGAGCGATACAACGTCGACTGGGTTTGTGTAGATCCAGTGCGGCTGACGCAGATATTCATCAACCTCTTAACAAATGCAATCAAATTCACAAAACTCGAAGCTGTCCGCAAAATCACTATCCGACGATCAGTTTTCATCGGCCAGCCGCCGCACATAGACAATATCGTTTGGTTTCCTGCGAAGAAACAGAAGCGTCCACCTATACAGTTTCCCCAGTGGGCAGAAGGCGAGCCAGTAAATCTACTTTTCTCGGTCTCGGATACAGGCAGGGGTTTGGAACAGGAGGAGATGGCTCGACTATTCCATAGATTTCAGCAAGGGACGAAGAAGACGCATATCAAATATGGTGGCTCTGGTCTTGGGCTTTTCATCTCTCGCGAACTTACCGAAAACATGGGAGGCGAAATTGGTGTGATCACCGAAAGGGGCAAAGGCAGCACTTTTGCATTCTACGTACAAGCACGTCGAGCAGCCGCTCCTGACGACGATGTGCGGGTGCCCCAAACTCCAGACTCATCATCGATGCCGCGGCGTACGTCTACCGCTCTCAAGGCGGATATTCCGGTTAGAGGATCTCCCAGCATCACTCCAACCGAGCGGCGGCCGCCTTCCGTGCTTCTTGTTGAAGACAACATTATCAATGCGCAGGTGCTTACCAAACAGCTCGAAAGGGGAGGTTGCACAGTCTACAATGCGAATCACGGAATTGAGGCCCTGGATTTCCTCCCCCGAACAAGGGCATGGCACGATTATCGACCGATCCAAATGGTCGAGACTCCATCATCCAACCTGGACGTTGATATCGATTGCATATTGATGGACGTGGAGATGCCGGTGTTGGACGGCTTAACGTGTACCAAGCGCATACGGGAGCTGGAGCGAAAGGGAAAGTTGAAGCGACATATCCACATCATTGCGATCACCGCGAATGCCCGGGCAGAGCAGATTGATGCGGCTTTTGAGGCAGGTGTCGATGACATCCTCCCCAAGCCATTCCGCGTCGTGGAACTGCTGGAGAAAATCGAGAACAACAGGAAGAAGGGCAAAATTCCGATCGATGGTGAATAGAATATGCAATTTCGAGACCAGCTTTGGCGTTCCACGTTCCAGGATGGTACCCAGCCTACCATCGGACTCGCAATATCAGTCTTTCAAAATTGGAGGGGATGAATTTGCGAGGAAGTAGAGAGACTATACAATGACACGTTGTCAGATCCCTACAGAACCAGCTTCTACCGGCCACCGTCTCAATCTTCGGACTGTGGATATGACGACGAAGGGCCGGAAGATTGGGGAGTTGGACCAAAGTGCCTCCACAAGGTCTGTATCCAAAAGATTGTCTCCAACGTCCCAAACACCATCAGAGAAGCGATCACAGTGATCTTGACGGCGCGAGAGGCACCCAGATGTGATAAGCTGAACGAAGGGTAAGAAGGATTCGGCCGACTCTGATTCGATTGAGACGTTTTGGTGGTGGGATTGGGTGGCTGCTCAGTGCGGGTGGATGATGATGTTGGGCGGCTGGATTGTCGACGCAGTTTGGTAAAGTTCTGGAGTGGCTGAGATGGATGTCCGAGGTCAAGTGTCGATAGTCCAGGCTTGAGACGCAGCCTTGACAAGACGAGAGGAGAAGGTGTTAAAAGTACTGGCATTGCTGATTGAAAAACGACTTTCTTGGGTGGACGTAGGGGCATCTGCTTTTGGGAGATGTTGGGTGCTGGACGCAGGAAAGGCTGGAGCGCAGGGTGGCAGCGGTGATGATATATTTGTTCTCGAGACGGACTGCCTCCATGGCACTGATACCCCTGGGTTTTGTGATTTGCATGATGAAATCGTCCTTGGTCTCTGGTGTGTGAGACTGTGAAGAGGAACTGCGGTATAAACTACACTAATTGATTCGTTGCCTGCGATGTGGCGGCACCAGCGGCGACTCCACCTCGTGATCGTGATCGTATTCGTACCTTTTGTTTTCGTTCCCCAGCGACTTGATGCTTGGTTTACCTCGTACACGATCCTCTTTCCCACTTCCACACCCACCCCAGTCAGTCAGTCAGCGCCATTTCCCTTTACTGTGCCTCCTCTTCTGTTTTGTTATCGAGCAATCGAAAAGGGTCCCTCCCCCTGATGCCTCCACGACGCTCGCATCAGAAGTCGCGCCGAGGTTGCCTAACCTGCAAACGGGCCCATGTCAAATGCACCCAGACGGGACCCCCTTGTGACCGCTGCAAACTTAGGGGAACAGCATGCGAGTACCTATATGCGAGTCCAGACTCTAGCAGCCTTGCACAGGCGCAAGATCCGCCATTATTGGACCGTGGGGCTCCGGTGGCGGCCACGGAGGAGGAACCCCCACCGCTGTTCCTGAATGAGGCTGGCTTGCTGGAACTCCAGCTCATGCATCGCTGGTCGACGGTGACTTACAAGAGCCTGTGCAGCAAGGTGGCCGAGGATGATTATATCTGGCAGATCGCCGTGCCGCGGTGGTCGCTGCAGCACGATTTCCTCCGCGCGGGCCTTTTCGCCCTGGCCGCCTTCGACTCGGCCAGCTGTTGCTCAGCACCCTCTGGATTGCCAGACCGGGCGAAATACCTCGCCGTGGCCGTCGAGTACCAGACCCATGCGCTCAACAGTTTCCGCCGTCGGCTCCAGCAGCACCAAGGAATCACCGACAAGGAAACCTGTGAGGTGTTGCTGTGCTTTTCTCTCATGCTCATGGTGCTCGCGCTGGCGTCGTCGCAGTTCATGGTTGAGTTGGCCTGTGGCTCTCAAGGTGGCGGTGGCGGTGATGACGACGAGAGTATGGTGCTCAACACGCTGACGCACTTTGAGCTGCTGCGCGGATGCAGCACTGTTCTCGGTGACACGGCAGAGCAATACCTGGCCCAGAATTCCTACATACAGAAACTCACACCTTTCGAGATGCTACCTCGATCGCCGTTGGACGACGACACGGCCGTGGCCCTGTCCCAACTGATGACGGCCAATATGCGGAGAATCAACTCGACCGTGGACGAATGCTGCGAGCACCAGGTCCAGCACGCCGCACACTCCGAAGCGTGCAAGAAGGCCATCACCATGCTCGAGGAATGCTTCGCCAAATGTGTCGGCCAAGGCAAAGATCTCGACTACCAAGGCTACGTGTTGGGCTGGCTGAACATGGCCGGCGAGGACTATGTCTACGCCATCAGGGCCAATGACCACGTCGCGCTCCTAGTGTTGATGCACTGGGGCGCGCTGGTTGAGAGACTCGGCCGCCGCGTCTGGTGGGCCAGAGACTTTGGGAGGCTTCTGGTCGAGGAGATCTCTACAAAGGCACTCCAGAGGCAGACGGCCGATGACTTGACCACGGATCTCATCGCTTCGGCGAGAAGGATAATGAATGGCCCCGCAGTGTGAGCGCAAGGCTGAGTGGCGCGATGGATAAGGAGCAGACCCCCACACCTTGTCGCAAACGAGACTCACCCAGGGACCGCGCCAAGACCCGAATGCGATCACGAATACGATCACGAGGCTGGCAACAAACTGTGGACCTCCTTTGATCAATAGTAGCGACAAGGCGGAAAAGCATCGCTTCGTTGTTTTCTCGGTATGGTCTGCCTTTTTCCTCATAAAGATGCAAATCGCTCGATCCTATTGTCGCGGATTTCGGTCAATCAGTCATGCGTTGCGACCCGAATGAAAAATGACCAACTTCATCATGAGTGATACACAACCCTTAATAGCGCGCAAGCGGTCTACCTCATCAGAACCTCGCAGCCAGGATGGCTTTACCGGAAATGCCACTATTCAACCTCCTGCGCAAGAGGACTCTCTGCTTTCGAAACTACTCTCTTTAGTGGCTGCACGCACGAAATTGCCCATCCTCTTCGGGCTGCTCGTGATATGTTTGCCTACTGTCTACCTCTATTCTCGCGAGACCAGTCGAGACCACCAAAAGCGAACCGACACCAGCATCCTCGTCTGGACCTTCATCCTGGGTGGCACCGTGGGCATAACCGTCGCCATGCTCGCGCAATCTGTCCTCGCGTACCTCCTCGCCGTGCTCTGCTTCAACGGCCACACCAATGCGATGGTGTACCTCGCCGAGACGGTCAAAACCGAAGACGACATCATCGACGAAGCTCACCGGAAGAGACGGTGGAAAATGTCCCATCGCCCGGCATATTGGGTGTTTATGATGCTCTTCGCGTTCGTGGTTGCGGGTCTGGTGGAGGAGTCGATCAAGTACATTGCCATCACAACGATGCTTGGCTGGGGGCAGCGATCCTCACACGGTGCCGGAAATATCATCAATGACCGTGACTACATGACCGTTGCGGTTGCGGCGGCCCTGGGCTTCGCCACGGTGGAAAACATGACCTTCCTGGCCGGTGCTGCCCGCCAGCGCAAAGGTAGCGGTGGTTCTGGTTCTTCGGCGGGAGGTGGTGCCACCGCCCTCCTGACGGCCGTGGAGAGAGCAGTGATAGGCACACCGGGACACTGCATGACCGCGGCGCTGATCGGAGCCAACATGCTCGTGCGCGCACGCCACGATAGCCTCGGAGAAGGAGGACAACACGGCACTCTCGCCAGCATCCTCACCACCTGGTCGATCCTGCGCGGTCCGGCCCTCTTCCACGGCTGCTTCAATTTTATGCTCTTCGCCGTCAGCGCCCTCGAGGGCAATGTCGGCTGGATCCATCCGCGGGGCTGGCGCACCGTGTGTTTCGTCCTCGTGGTCGCCGTGTCATTGCAGGCCACTCTGGCACTGGTGCTCAGGGCCAAGTTGCGCGAAGCGGGACTGTTGTGATGTCGATCTGTTGACCTGTCACCTGCTCACCTGCTCACCTGTCGCGCTGTCGCGCATTGATTGATATGGTTGAGCGCCACATCTACACCTTTTTAATCTTCTTTTCCACGAATTCTCTTTCTCTACCAGTTTTTTTTTGGGTGGCCGTCCTCTGCTGTCAGTGAGGGACCTAGTCCCGGTGGCTTTACTTCTTGCTATCTATATATATACCCAGGTGTTCCCCCTTCTTCGTGTCAATGCATATATGTATTAACAGCTCGAAAATCAGCCTGCTGGGAAATTTGCTTTAATAGATTTGGATCGGATTGGTGTGATTGGAAAATGAACTGCGCGATTGCGCGAAACTCATCTCACTACCCATTCTCACTTACTCGGCACCAGGCACTTTTGGTTGTGAACCTGGGCTGAACGATAAGTGGATCAAGGGGCTTTTTGAATAGTACAGATATCATTAATGATACATGGCCTAGGGCAGTATACTCAGTCACTCACTCACAAACTCAACTCACTCGGTACTACGTACTCGGGACGACGTCCTGCGGCCGTATTTGGCTAGGCACTGGTATACCATAGTCACGATACCCGGCTTCTGGCTGCGTGGGCATATGCTCAAAAGCCTTGGATCGGCGATAGATATTATATGTTTCTCCGAGATACGGACACATATATAAAACGGCAGATCGGGGCATCGACATCGACATCGTCGTCTATCTTTGTCATCATCATCACAATTGATCTTCGTCGTCAGGGTCGGGCATGCCCTCTTCATAGCCCCAGTTCGCGGTACGGGTTTCTGTTCCTCCTGATACGGCGACATTCTTCTCGTGGATGGGGACTTGATCGGACGCGTGTTCCTCGTCATAGCCGTCGTCTTCGTCGCCGGGTGCTTCCTCATCCTCTTCGTCTCCTGCTTCGTCACCTTCTTCGCCTTCGTCGCCTTCTTCATCTCCTTCTCCATCATTTTCTTCGTCGTCTGTAACACTCACGTCCTCTGCTTCACTGCCGAGTTCTTCCTTGATCAGATCCCGTCCCTTCATCTTCTTTCTCTCCCGCTCATACTCGCGATCATACTCGTCGTCCGATTCGTCCGAAGCGCCACTACCTTCACTCTCCCCTTCACTTCCCGGATCGTAGTCTTCCTCTTCCTCGTCCTCTTCCTCATCAAGCTGTTGCTGGGCTTTTTCCAACTCGGTTCGGTCGTCTTCGTCACCTTCTGCATTGCCTCCATCACCGTTCTGTGTTGCACTCTTGCCGTTGGCCGTCGCATTGAGCTTCTTTGCTCGCCTCGACTCGGCAAGACTGGCATCCTGTAGATCATGCCGCTTGACGTAGGCGTCAATCCCCGGAAAATCAGCCTGATCCAACATGGCAAACTCGACCTCCTGAATTTCTTCACTATTAGTCCCATCCGCCAAGCTGGCTCGATAGGCGATGTTCAAATTGAATGTCCTCTGCAGCACGGACGTGTAAGAGATGCTTTCGACGTCTTCAAACGCAAAGAAAGAGAGCGGCTTCTTGAATCCAAAGAAGATGCCATTGCTCAAAAAGAAGAGGTATCCGTCCTTACTCCCGCGGAAGGCTTTGACATGATACGCTTTATCGCCTTTCCGATGGGATTCGGGTTTGGCACTGGAGAATTCCTCCGCGGTAGGGAGTGTGAGGCTTTTCCCGCTCTTTTGGAGCAGATAACCCAGCGCGTTTTCGAGCATATCATCAGGGCCAGGCGCGATTTTAGCAAGGTCACTGCTGGGGATGTGACACGACTTGAGCGGGCCGTCATTGACAGCCCAGATGATGGCGTCAGTGTTGTTGTTATTGTTGCTGTTCGAGTCTGGCTTCAGGAGTAACACAAAGTTGTATTGCTTCGCGGCCTTCTCAGGTATGGGCAGTCTCAGGGCGTAGGTAACCTGGTCCAGGGGCACTTCCATCTCCACCTCGTTGCTGGCAGGATTCCTGGTGTAGATGGCAAATTTTGTGTCCGTGCCGTTGATGTCGGCCCCATATTGCGCGATTCCCAGGTGTAGCTTTTTGCGTTGTGGTAGTGAGAATGAGATGTCTCTTGCTTCAAAGACCACCTCGCGCGGTTGATCACTTTTCTGCGCCGTCTGCGCGAGGGGAAGAGAGGAGCCGTCCGGGAGTTTGCGCTTCTTGGACGCGGGTTCGTCCTGTGCAGAGCCGTTCACTTGATGTGAATGGAGGTGGTAGGATGCAATGTCCTCGAAAAGGGGCGCATGCTGCGGAGTTGCGTCTGCGGCATCCCATTAACAATGTACCTCCGTGGGATGATCTCACACTGGACACTCACCGATGGCGTCAAAAATCCTCTTTCGTAGTTGCGAATTGCTGGCAAATGCTCGATTTATGGCATCGCGTCCTGACATCTTGGACGGGCCTGAGAGGTTTCTACGAGGAGAAGCAATGGAATCTGGGAACTGGCTTTCTGGTTTATGGAGGTGGTTTAATAACATGCAGGCAGAGAACAAGTCCAGCGATGATGCAATTGGCTCCTCACGCCCCTGTGGCCCCTGACCGCGTTTCCACCACTCAATCATAGACCAACCCACCTCGCATGCTTATTGCTCCTCCAAACGTTCGCATGGAACACGGTCAACTGCAATCAATGGCTACCCAACGACACCAATCGGTAATCCATCACAAGCAATTTTCTCCGTTCCGACACAAATTCTATGCCTCTAGACATATTCCGCCGCATCGAATTTCTCCTTGGACCAGAATTTGGCCTTGATGGGATTGCCGTTGAAGATTCTCCCTTCCAAAGCATTGACTGCCCGCAGAGCACTGAGCTGGCTCACAAACTGTACAAACACCAATGCTTCGCCCTCTTCACTTTCTGGTCGATGGATGTAGACTCTCTCGACACTGCCGTATTTGTCTCCACATTCCTCCCCAATCTCTTGCAGCAGACCGCCCTCTCCCTGAGTGAGTTCGTCGTCGAGATCTAGGCCGTTCAACATGCCCTCAAGGCGAATCACTTCAGACATTGCTCCAAACTTGCCTTCTTCCTCGACAAGGCCAGTCTTTGATTTGTTACCACCGAGAATCTTACCAGTACCTGTCGGAGTAGCGAAGCCACCACCTTCTGCATCCGATTTCTTCTTGCGTTTGTCGGCCTTGGCATATAAGGGGTTGATGATCCCAGTGCCGTGAGCTCCGAGGCCTTGACCCTTGCTCCAGCCATATTTCGCCATCAGACGTTCAGCAAATCCCACTTGCCCAGGACGTTTGGATCGTGGTTCGTCATCGTCGCCATTTTCATCAACACCTGCTTCAGGTTCGGCAACATCATGTCCCTGGCTTGGTCCAGATGCTGAAAGGTCTTCTGGTGCAGTGGGTAAGGTATACCGTACTGGTGCCCTGGAAATCTGACCAGGTTGCGGGGGGTCTGCTGGAGGCGAAGGAACACCTGGCGGCTGGCCTTGACTCATGCGCATTCGTCTCAGATACGCGTCCTCCCCAGTTGCATCGTCCGGAATCTCAACAGGTGGTGGCGGTGGAGGAGGGCTGTCGTCATTCAGGTTAGGTGGAGGAGCAAAAGACATGGAAGGCGGAGCGAATTGTTCTGCCTCCATATCAGTAAGTTCCAAAC